AAGCAAGAAGTAAAAGAGGTGGAAGAGCAAGTCAACGAACACAAGAAAGAATGGGCCGATAAAGGTTGCTCAATTCTATCGGATGGATGGAGAGATTCGGTTGTCCAAAAAGACATCGTTAACTTCATGGTGAACTCTCCAAAGGGTTCCATATTTGTTAAATCGATGGATGTTTCGGATGTCTCCAAGGATGCCAACTTGTTGTTTGGGATTCTTGACAAAATGGTAGATGAAGTTGGCGAAGAGAATGTGGTGCAAGTGATCACCGATAATGCATCCGCCTATGTCAAAGCAGGTAACATACTACTAAATTACTACTTACTAACATTTACTAATTTAGTATTTCTCTTTCATATATATATATATATATATATATATATATAATGCCACCTAATTGTTTATTTTAAACTTTGTTGGAAAGATGTTAGAAGCTACTAGAAAACATCTTTATTGGACTCCATGTGCAGCACATTGTATAGATCTCATGTTAGAAGATATTGGGAAGCAAATTCCACAGGTGAAAAATTGTTTGAAAAAGGCAATGTCAATAAACGGGTATATATACAGTTATGTTGGTATAGTAAACTTGATGAGGAAGTTCACAAATCAAAGGAACTTGCATAGGCCCGCGATTACTCGATTTGCAACATCCTTTATCACTCTCCTTCAATTTCACAAGCAAAAAAAATAACTTCAGGAAGATGGTTGCTTCTCAAGAATGGATGGAGAGCAAGTGGTCTAAGGAACATAAGGGCAAATTGGTGCATTCTTACTTTTTACAAGAGACCTTTTGGAGGAACATTGAATATACACTCAAGTTGACGGGTCCTCTTGTTAGTATCCTTAGATTGGTTTATGGGGAAAAAAGGCCGGCCATGGGTTATATTTATGAAGCCATGGATAGGGCCAAGGAGAGTATTGCTAGAAGCTTTCCAAATCAAGAAGATCGTTACAAAAAAACATTTGAGATCATTGACCATAAGTGGGAACATCAACTCCACCGACCTTTGCATGCCGCGGGCCATTACTTAAACCCATCCATTTTCTATGATGATGTGAAGCGGATTGAAAGTTGTGAAGAAATAATGGATGGTTTACAATCTTGCATTGAAAGTTTGTCCCCGAATGCTCAAGTGGAAGACCAAACCATAAGAGAATTAAACAAGTATAAGAAAGCCGAAGGGATGTTTGGTAAAAGTTTGACTATTAGGCAAAGGAAGCAAATGGCACCGGGTAAGAATAATTCTATAAATGTATTAAATTAAAAATATGTTATTACTCTTATGCATACTGATTTTACTCTTCTAATTTTTTGCTCCTTGTAGCGAAATGGTGGGAAACATATGGAGCTTCGGCTCCTAACTTGCAAAGGTTTACCATACGAGTTCTTAGTCTTACTTGTAGTGCCACAAGTTGTGAAAGAAATTGGGGCGTTTTTCAACACGTAAGTGTAATAGTGTATATATATCTCAATTTCGTACTTTAATTAAAATATATTATCAATTAACATACAATTTAATTTTTGATAGCTTCACACCAAGAAGCGCAATAGGTTGACACAAGAAAGATTAAATGATATGGTTTATGTTAAATTCAATCATTCATTGCAACGCCGAAATGGAACCTCTGATCCTATTGCTTTGGATGATATTGATGAAAGTAATGAATGGTTGATGGGTAGAATGGAAAATGATGAAGATGAAGAAGATTTGGTGTTTCTTGATGATGATCTTACATGGGATGCGGTGGGTAGAGCTTCCGGGGCTAATGAGCCAAGTCATTTCACTAGAGGATCAAGAAGAGGAGGTGATGATGGAGTCGGCCCATCAAGAAATGATAAAGGAAAAAGACCTGCTCTTGTCGATGAAGATAAGATGGAGGAAGACATTGGAGTGACTGATGATGATGAGGGAGATGGAGACGTGCTCGGGTTTGATGAAGGGGATCTTGGAGACATTTAGTTTGTGACTAGAGAAAGTTTGGAGAACTCTGTAGGGGGAAGGGAAGTGGGAGCTATTGTTGATTTGTCTTTTGGTTGTTTTGATTTTCCTACGCGTACTTGTCTATTATGTTATTTAACATTTATGAAGTACTATTAAACTACTTTTGGTATTATTTGATGCATTTTTTATATATAAGTATTTACATGGTATAAAATTAGTTCAAAAGTATTTTTTGTGTGAAAATTAGCGCATCGGGTTCGTGATGCGAGCGCATCACGCATCACGCATCGTCTCTCGGGACACTAAACGCATCAGAGCGCATCTCGCATTTTAAAACCAAGTTCACACCCTAAACCCCAAGCCAGAACAAACACTTCAAACATTTTTCCTCAAAGAGAATCCCTTACAAGTGATCCTCCCTTAGAATTGCCAAACCGCAACTGCAAAATAATCATTGAAACAGGACCACACGGCATAATCTGAGTACCAACTAACCATACAATGAAATCTTATGAGCTGAATGACGAATGAATTCATTCTCGACAACTTATGGTGTTTGTTATGGAAAGCTATACCTTAACCTTAAGAATTTTCATTTTCCTCACTTGAACATCTTTTACAAATCAATACCAAGTTACCAGCCCTACTAACACAATCATCAATTCCTCCGAATACAAGAAAAAATTGGGAAAAATAAAATTAACATAACTGTATTGGATGTATGACCATGTCTGACATACACACCTGGATCTGCGTAATCATAAACAGGTACATTATTTGAGTATTCACTTACCAAACAAAGATACCTTATGCCCTCAACGATGTGGAATTCACAAACTCCGTCAAACCAACTTACCATGCTTCTCATAGTATTTTATTATACCTTAACAAAAATAAGTTTCCTTTTCCTCAATTGAAAAACTTGTTCAAGCCAATGCCAGTCATGCTAACACAACAAGCACAAGTCAAATGGAGCCCCAGAACAAAGATTTTAAGCATAATTCATAATCTGGCCCCAATCATAAGGGATACTTTGCAAAGAATGGCCAAATCATAACAGGGAACTATCATTAGCACGGGATTACCGAGTGTTATCTGATTACAAATTCACCAAACAAAGAAATCTTAATGACACATAGGATGAACCAATACATAAACTCCATAAAGTTACCTTGTAATGCTCCATAATCATATGCTTAAACAAATAACTATGGTCAGAATAACCAAGTTTCTAATATCTACTACTATTAGAACAAGAACAAACCCGAAGCTACTAAACTCAGATTACACAAAAAACGCTCTTCATTCAGTCCTACAAACATAATCTGAAATCTTCACATCACATATGGAACTCCAGAAGGAACTCTTCGAGCGTACTCCTCATAATCCGCACCGAAAAACTGCCTCAAAAAATATTCCTCATAAGGAATCCGGGAAGCGAAAAACCTCCAAACAACAATGGCAAAACCAACAGTGGATATGGGATTACAAAGCATTATCTGGGTACCAACTGACCAAATCAAGAAACCGCAATAACTCGGATGACGGACGAATGCATAAACTCCACTAGTAACCAACCTATGATGATCCTCATGACGAACCCTAATCAAATGTGTAAAAGACCGACCGGCAGTTACAATAGCCAGTTTCCTTACAATTTCCCCTACAACAACCATTAGCAGGCCCAGATTACTGACCCACAAATGTTCTTTCAGTCCAGGGAATAAAAAGAGTTCAAAAAAGTATTCGACCAATGAGAAGACCATGGCTAAAACATATTCTTTGCTGACAAGAAGTGAACTAAGATTAACATTTGATATCCCATGAATTGCAACTGCTAAAACGTATTCTGAGCTATGGAAAAAGAGAATTGCCCGTAAAAATAGAGATAATGGGTTCATTTTTCTGAAACTAAAATAGCTTCCCTGGATTTAAAAGCTGAGTCAAGTAGATTGCTTTGAGTTGGGTTTTGGGGTCACCTACCGCGATTCCACTGCACCGGTGAAAGATGCTGCGATCTTTGGAGAAGAAGGTGCGGCCACTTGGGGTATCAACAATCAACATTGGCGTAGATGGCCAAGGGTTTTCATCTTTTCAAACTCCCTTTGAGAATATTTTATTTTGTATAAAACGCAAAATTGATACACTTTATTTCTAGACTGTCTTATTTTGATCACTGAATTTGAAAAAACAACGATTTGGTCATTTAGGTTACCAGTTCAACGGGTTAATGATTTGGCATGTTAGTGAAAATAATAAATTTTAAATTGACACATAAATTCTAGATAGAATACTAATTAAACCTAAATTTTACATAAAATACTAATTTAACCTTTGAACTTTTGATAAAATATCAAATTGAGTCATGGATTCGATTAAAATCCCTATTTCCGACCAGCGCTCATCACCATCGCCGATTTCCACCACCGTTCATGTCAACCGTTGTCACAAAAAATCATTTCTCCCTCATCAACATTTAGTTTTGGTTTCATTTTGGTCACTCGCCTTTAAAAAATTAACAATGATGTTGAAGTGTCATCATAAGATAATTTCATGTTATTTTTGAAAAAAATAAAAATAGATCAAGTCAGCAATTCTGTTAATTTTTCAACGGTGGATGATCAAAATGAAACTAAAACATAATGTTAGATATGTTTTTGAAAAAACATAATGTTAGATATGTTTTTGAAAAAAAATAGTTGAATGACCAAAAGTATTGAATGTGTAGTTTACCCTTTATATATTAACAAATGGAAAATTATTTGCAAAAGAAAGAAAATACACTTAAAAACAAACATAATAGTCCTTTATTTATTTATCCAGGTTTCTTCCACAGTAAAATATAAAGCATCAAATACTGGTTCTCCTTTTTCCCTTGCTACACCACATGCTAGTCAAAAGTTCTCCACTGAAAAGCTTCAAGCTTCTGCCCTAACTTTCTAAGAAGAAAAGAATCTATGCTATACATCATGGATTTAAATAACGATCTGTTATCGGAATAACAAAAATTATATAACTAGAAAGGTACCGTCCGAAATCATTATTGTACGATCGCGATAACCGTAACAACATCATCTATTATTGTAATTACGATAAAAGTAACGTAACCGAAAACACAACGGTAATCTCAATTTAAATCCCGGGTCTACACTGCCTCTTACTGAAACTCCTTGGCGAAACAATTTTAGTTAACAAAGCTTTTAACCTTCTAGACCCAGCTCCAGGTTTCAAAACACCATAATTCTGGCCCTGTAAACTAGAGCATCCCCTTTGTTTCTTCCCATTTTCGGAACACCAGCCCCCGTATGAGAACTTCCCATGCCTCCTCTTGAGCAGCTCCCTGTCGATTTTGTCGAGGACCGGATCGTTCCTCTTGAATTTCCGGCCGAATGGGCGGCCGCTCATCACCATTCTTCTGAAATCCTCGAGTCCTAGTGACCTCGGGTGTTGTTTCGGAGGGTTGTCCCATGTGATGTAGTGAAGATCATGGTTCACCGTTGTGTTCTTGTAGTCTTCTGAGTTGCATATCAATGTCTGGAAGTAACCTTCTGGTGAAGATACGAAGTTGGTATAGTATAGTAGTAGAGTTCTTGGCAGGTTGTCCCAGCCTACAATGGAGTACTCGGCAAATGATCTTGAGATCACTGTCCAAGCTGACCCTGTTGGGTTTTCAAGCAAATTAAATGATAAATCAACATTGGTTTAAATCAAGATTCACGCATAATTTTATGCTAAAAGATAAATTTATGAGGTAAATGTATAAATTTTAAAAAGATAAAAACAGATTATCAATAAAAAAATACTAATAAAAAATCTAAAATATAAGAGAATTTAAAAATCTTATAGACGCAATTGCCCGACTTACCCATTGATCCATCTTGGATAAGTAGTCACTGCATCAGATTAAAAACTATTAAGGGATAGAATGAAAATGGTTGAACCCAACATATTGTTCATAAATAAAGATGATCAGGGAGGGCTGAAGGGGACAATCACTTTTCGAAAATTTTAAATTTTCATATAATTTAAAGATTTTTTTATATTTTTATTAATAATATATTATTATTTTTAATTCTTTAAAAATTTATTTTAAATTTTACAAATTCGTCCTATGTTATAAAATCTTATAATCAAATAAAATGATGGAATGACACACAACATTGGTTAGAAACGTTTTAATGGTTGATTACAACATCAATATCCCAGCGAGCAACAACTCACCAACCTTACCTACCATGACTAACATGATCAGCACTAATAAATAGCCATTTATTGAAGTCCATTTCACACCAAAAGGAAAAACATCCTCTTCATCTTCAAACAAATCATTGCCTTCTGCTTTTGTCTTTCATTCAACTAGAGTTTAATGGCCATGATTTCAGCTAGAATAAACAAAGGGATCCAGTTTTACAAAATCCCAAAAATCTTTTAGTTTTCTGAGCTCCCAATAGATTCTAATGCGTGAACTCACATGCTAGAGATAAGTGATGATTTTAAAGGAAAAACTTGAATGAAAAATGGAGAAATAACCTGTATAAAGCTTGAAAGCAGTGGGCAGTGTTCTCTGTTTAATCACCCACCAAATTTCTGACTTGTTCTTGTTGTAAAGCCCTGGATCTATTATTATGGGTTTCCCTCTCTTATTCCTGCAAATTGTTCATCACATTTAATGTAAACAAATTGGATCAGAAAAAAGAGACAAAACAAGATTTTCTTACAGTTTCCACCCCAGTTGACTTGTATGCTGAATGAAATTCAGATCTTTCGGCAAACCAGAAAAGGCGTGAATCAGATCTGAAAAAGAAAACCCAGAAAACAAATAAGCTTATGAATCATAAAAACTCGCAAAATCATGCGAAAAAAAACATGAAACAAAACCCCATTAATCCACTCACCATACCATCTTGAGTAACTATAGGATAATCAGAAGCGCTGAGATTAATAAACCAATCCCATTCGCAGCATCTCAAGAGCATGGACATAGCATGGAGAGTTGTGGCAAGCATGGTAGGACCTCTATAAGTAACCAGGTTCGGTTTCCCGACAATATACACATTACCGACCGAACTGAAAACCCGGTGATCCGACACGAACTCTGAAATCTCCTTGTGCTCATGTGCAGGAGCCTCGTGATCCAGATGAACCAGATACCGATTCCCAGGGTGATACAAAGCATGTAGGGTACGTTTTAGCTTGATTATGTCCCCTTTGGAAGCTGAGATTAAGTAGGCAAAGGTAACCGGATATGTCCTGTTGGATTTCTGTACGATGTTTAAGGTTGACATGGGGTTGAACCTTGTAATGGGGATAGTTAGTTTGGTTGGGAGGTATAGAACGGACAGGAGGATTGAAGTGAAAATGAAGGACACCGTGAAAGCTTTGATCCCCATGTTTCAGATAGTTGGGAAGAAGAAAGAAATGGGAATCATGACCAAATGGAAACGTTTTAATGGAAGTGTGTGGATTTAAATCTGCGGAGGGTTCTTTGCTTTCAAGTGAAGGCCTCCATCTGTCACCTGCAATCGTAAAAATGGCACTGAGATGGTGATGGAATGACTCTTTTGCCTAGGGTTTATGTGGGATGACATTGGGTATGAGTAGGGTATTTATGGGATTTTGCTGGGTTGAAATCCCCAATTTTATCATAAGGTAGTGATGAACTTGAGGAGTTAACATCATTCATTGTCGTATCGGATTAAAAAATATTTATTTAAGATGAATATATATATATATATATATATATAAATACAATAATGCTAAATATTTGTATAAAATAAATATAACTATGTATATATATATATAGTTAATGTCACCCCAAAATGTAAATTTAAAATATGTATATATTTTAAATTAAATTTGATATTTTTCTTTTTACATTTATAATTTAATAATATATATATAATTTTAAACTGAGTATTTTAAATTTAATTAATAATTTTATTGTTTACTAGTTATAAAATGTATAAAAAAAATATAAATGAATCAATTTATATTTAAATGTGGAATTCAAATAAGAGATGATGAAGATGGTGTGTGATGGTTGGCAATAAGAGACATTGGTAGAATTTATAGGTCAAATTGATATTTTATCTAAAGTTTATGGGTTAAAATAATATTTCAACTAAATTTAAATGGTCAAATTAGTATTCTATCTAACATTTAAGGGTCAAATTAAAAAATAACTTCTTTTTCTAACTTTTCACATCACCAATAGCGATTAACGATTTAGTGACCAAAATATAACAACCGATAAGTGACCAAAATATAACAATTGATAATATAAATTACTAAAACATAAGTTTTTAAAATTAACAACTGAAGAAAGATAAAACTAAAACCAAAGTGACCATTCTTATAGTTTACCCAACATTTTCCCCCGTCAATGTCAAATGCTCTCCATGACACTTGATATTTCCTCAAAAAGCATTTTTCAACCCAACATTACCTTAATTGATAATAGTTTGTAACAGACCATACTTAAATAGTTAAAATATATTATTTGTGAAATAAGAAACAGGGTTTAGTAAATTTAATAAATTTGAATTAAAATATAAGTAACATACATAAATAAATAAATGTATTTATATATATATAATTTGACGGAAATTTTTATTTAAAAAAATTATTTGTGTTATTTTTTTTCATTTTTACTTTCTATTAAATTAAATTAATTAACAGAAAATATAATAAACTTTAATATTTAATAATTTTTGTACTTTGAAAAAAAAATCATGTTTTCTGTTTTTTACATTTTCAATAATTTTAATATATATTCTGTACGTTTACAAAGTTTAATATTTGTATTACTTTTAAATAACTTTTGGATTTTTTTCATAAAAAAGACTGAATAATTTACTTTTGTAATGATAAAAGGATGAATTGAAGTATGTTAGATTAATAACTTTATTATTTTTATCAGTTAATTCAATTTAATAAAAAATAAAAAATAATGATTTAAATATTTTGAAAAGAATGAAATTTAAAAAAATATTATCGGATATATATACACACATACATAACAAAAAATTGCGGTTTAAATATACTAGCAAATGATTAACAATACGTAAATATGGTTCAATGGATTAGTAAGTTTATGAAACTATTCTTATAAACCATTACCAATTAAGGTACTTTCTCCGGTGGTTGATTTGTGTGTAGAAAACCGCTCATTGGAGATTAAATTTATTTAATGGAACTAAAATAAGGATTAAATTGATAAAATGTATAAACATTAAGGATTAAATGTATAATTATACTAATGTTTTTAACATACATGTCACCTCCTCCGTCAAATATTAACGGCAAGTAGCTTGATTGTGTTCATTTAAATAGTTGAATGACATAAATGATAAAATTTTAAAAATAGTGGTCAAAGTGAAAAGGATAATAGTTAGGTTATCAATGGCATACGTTACGTACCCTAGAAATTAAGTTTAAATCTCTGTTTTGAAAACCGGACCGGATCGGCCGGTTCAACCGGGAACCGTTGCTTAATCCGGTTCAATCTAAACCGGTTGAACCGCTATTAGTGAATCGGCCAGAACCGTTGAACCGTTCGAACCGGACCGCTGAAAACCGAAAAAAATCGAGAAAAACTGGGATTTTTGTTTTTTTTTTTAAAAAAAAAATTAAACCAAACAACGTCGTTTGTTAAACGAGCCAAGTCGAACTCGAGTATTGCTGAGCTCGACTCGAACTTGAAAATTTTAAAAGTAAGCTCAACTCAACTCAAACTCACAAGCTAAAAATTATCAAATTCAACTCAAACTCGAAATATAATATTGAAACTTGAACTCAAAAAGGCTTGAACTCAAAAAAAAATTTGAAGCTCGATTGAAGCATAAAATTCGAGTTTGATTGAAGTGAAAGAATAGTTCACTCAATGCTCACCAAAAGGCTCCATGATTTTGAATGTCAAATTACCTCTATTATTTATAGAAGTTAGTTGTGATGCGCTTCTATGTTTCTTAGCAATGTGAGATTGTTTTGTTCTCATATTTTTACTCTTTAGACTTTTGGGATGTTCTTCTATGTTTATTAGCCATGTGAGATTGTGTTTTTAAAAAAAATTAAACCAAACAATATCATTTTGTTATGATTTTTTTAATCCCAAATTTATTTTTTAATTATAGTTTATATAATTATATTTATTATTTAATATGTTTTACCTTAAATATTATGTTGTAGTTAATTTGAATCATTTTGTTTCACTTGATTTTATGGTTTTTAACTTATATATGTTATGGTTTGCTTTGAATATGACTTGTGATATAAAAAATTATTTTTTATTAAATATTTTTGGTATTTTTATTTAATTTTTTAAATAATTATGACATCGTTCAGTTCTTCCGACCGGTTCGACCGGTTGAACCAGTGAACCGGTAGCATGACCGGTTCGCTAACCGGTCCGGTTCTGAAAACCATGGTTTAAATCTCGATTCAAAATTAATGCATAATAATACAACATCAAATTAAATATTTTGCTTATAAAAGGATTAGAAAGGACATTTATACCATATCTTAGCAAAACGTCGTAATCTTGATAATGTGACTCCAGAGGAAGTTGATGGAGAAGATGTTGGATTATCAAACCCAATATTTCCGTCAGATTTTGTTTTATCTTTACCTCTTGTTTTTTTCTTTGATTTCTTCCAAAACCAAGGTCTTGTTTCTCTTGCATCATTCATGCATTGCTTGTTTCTCTCTTGGCTCATCCGCGACATCGTCCTCGACGGTGGCTTGATTGGTGAAACGATCTCCTTATCCGACACTAAACGATGTTTGGGGGTACCAGGCTCCAACTCCCATTGGAACGGAATTGCGCCGACGCTCCGTCGGTGAGGAATATGAACTGAATCATCCAAGGAAGAATCATCCCTCGAAAGAATTTTACGTAAAAATAGCTCGTCAACTTGTAGAACAGAAACTATTTTCTCTTCATTGTCCATTTTGAACTACATAGATAACTCAAACCATGTTATGAATAAATATATAGTGAATAATTCTTTTTTTTATTTTATAATATGGAAGTAAATGGAAAAAATATCAAATTAAACAAAAATAGGACTATATTGACCATCCAGCTCAGTTGGTAGAGCACAAGGCTCTTAACCTTGAGGTCGTGGGATTGAGTCCCACGGAGGACATTTCATAATTCGGAAGTCTCCTACGGAAGTTGCTCTCAACCTAGCGTTGGGGGCAGTCTACTATCCTACCTCCCCTTACCCCATTACATATGGGAATAAGAGTCAACTAATTTATGATCTTATAAAATCCCCAATTGCATAAAAAAAAGAAATTGCTATTTAATTTCCTAAATTGGAATGTTAAGTTTTCAAATAGGTGTTTAAAGGATTCGGATATTACGATGTTTTACCATACATTTATTATTTTATTTTTTTGGATAAAAAAACTGCTTCAGATCGAAGGAAAATATAGTTTTCAAATGTGACCGCTGCCGTAATAATAGTAATAGTTATAGTGATCCGACTTGTTGTAAGTTGACATCCCAAATGTATGAGATGGACTTTAAATTAATATTTACTCATAAAACCATTTCTATTTTGTTTTAAGTATAACATGTTAATAAAATTATTATATATTTTATTTCTCTTTAATAATAATATGGTTCGTCGGAGATCCATTAATTGTCCGAATGATTAAAGATGTTCATGTTATCTTGTTTTATATATGTTCGAATCCTTACATTTATCTTGAATGTGATCAGGGATGGATCTCCCTTAGGGCCCAAGGGGCCCCCGATCCCTGTTAAAACTTATATATTATATATAATTTTGGTTAATAGCATTTTGGTTCATGTAAAAATAAATATTTAAATTTAAAAAATATAAATATTTATTAAATATTTAATCAAGTAGGGGTCGAACTAAAGAATGATAAATCCGTGTTCTCAAATTTTTGGTCTACTTATAATTTAAGTAATTGTAAGTTTAAATATTAGACAAATTAGAAGTTATATTTTGAGTTAATTTAGGACGAATACAATGTAATATCTGTACAAAGACTTTCAATTATTTGACAATGAACGCTCATACCCCTACCTACGTGCTTGAACTCGAGACCTGAAGGTTAACAATAATTCCTTAATCTAAGGTCGCTTGGTTCATGCTGAATTTTGAGTTTAAATACCTAATAAGTCTTTATATTTTTCTTAAACATGCTAATATTTCTACCCTTACCAATATTTAATTCTGAATCCGTCCCTAAATGTGATATCTATTATTTTAAAAAATAATTATAAGATTCGTCAAACTAGTTCCAAATAAATTTAGGTTAATAAAAAGAAAGAAATACACTTGGGAACAGGAGTTTAAAAGTTTAGACTGTGGCCAACCTATGATCTTATTCACTATTTTGTAAGCTCTTTTTCTAAAATTTGATTCGTTCGTTAAATATAATAAGATTATATAAGAAAAAAAAAGTTGAAAAGAATCTAATCTAGTGATTAAAGAAAATAAAAGATGGAAACAATTGTGAGTAATGCCAAAGTCTCGTATGACCTAGACACTTAATTTTAAGAATCTTATTCACGAGTTAACGAGAAGAAAAAATATACAAAGAGTTATTGCTAAAGGATTAAATTGAATAAACTGAAAATATAAGAGATTAAATTAAAAAAATAAAAAAAAAATATTTCAGAAAGAAGAATTAAAATTACATGCGTATTCCAAAATGATAAATCCTAACAAAACATAAAGGAGTCATGAAATTGACGACATGACGATATAACGTCATAGATGAACAACATGACATCAACAAATCGACGATGGAGAACATATTAAAAAAGAAGAGAGTGAAGAATTTTTGGAGACCAAAGGTCTCTCATATGAGAAATATGAGTTTTGTACTTAAAGATAAGACGATTAGCTTGGGAAAAGTTAGAAATTAAATTAGGATAACATTGTTTTTGAAGTTATCTTATTGTAGATGGTTGTAAGCAGGGAGGTAAAAACCTAATTCGACTTGTAAAATTGACTCAAGTCAAAGTTGTTTGGGACCTAAGCGGTGGTGATCCGAACCGACTCGAGTCTGAATTGGTGTTGACATGAATTCGAGTTGGACCTGAAAATTGTATATCTGAACCCAAGTGTACCCGATCTGAAAACAAACTAAACCTGAATTGAACCGGAAAAATAATAATTGAACCCGACCTGCATCCGACTAATATGAACCCAAACCCGAGATCAACCTAGTAAATAAATTGTATTACTCGACCCGTTTTCAACCTGACCTGTTATGAACATGACATGTAATTAACTCAATCTGTAAATGATTTGACTTATTATTGAACTGATTTGATATTTACATGACTTATAAATTATCATTGATGAAATTGTGAAATTTTGACGAAGTTGTAAGACTTTAAGTTTATAACAAACCATGCTAATTAACTTGATTAATTTTTAAATGTTAAAATAAATTATTAATTATGGTAATAAATTAATAAATTTACTTACTAGATTAATTATGATTCTTATATTATAAATCTTAATTATAATCATTAAATTAATTTTATTAAATAATTTATTTATTGAACATGATTAATAAATAATTAATTAATAATGTAAATATAATTTATCTAAAAATTTAACATATATATAAAAGATGAATTTACTTGATATTGAAAATTTGAATAGCATAAAATTTATTGCACTTTAATACAATAAAATGAACAAAAACAAATTTGTGTTAAAATTTAAGCTCTTGAATCTTATAACAAAAGTTTTATAAGGATAAAAACATTACTCTGCTACCAGAAATTTTTTCATCGAGTTTTTATCTCAAAAGATCTAAATGTTACCAACATTATTAAATTACGGACAATTTTTCAGCTTTAAAAGCCAAAATATCACAAACATAATTTAACATGAATAACTATTTAGAAAAGAATTTACAAGTTACAACAATTTATTTTAGTCAGACCAACAATAATTTACAAGGCAGCAGCAGACAACAACAAGCAGCGACAAACAACATTGTATCAATTCAGCAAGCATTATCGCATCAATTCAACATTCATAATTTCTGCATTCAACAAGCATCCAGTCAGCCGTAAAGCCAAAGGGAATATGATGGCCAATAGTGTCAAACATTTCTGACTTTACCAAACCCTTACAGTATCAAGCATTCAACAAAAATTTCTAAATCAGGCAATACCAAGAAGAATCAGGACATAATCATTCAACATTATGATTGTTGTAACTTGTAAGGCACCCTACAAAATCAGAATCATTAATAAACAATTTGAAAAATTAATTAAATAAACAAAATAAAAAAAATAAAGTTACCTTCAAAAAGGAAGAAACAAGACAAAATCATTCACAAACCAATTCCAATGTTTTGACTTACTGTAAAACACCCTACAAAATTAAAAATAAAATCATTAATAAAAAATTCAAAATATTAATGAAATTAAAATAAATAATAAAATAAATAATATATTTACCTTTACAAAGTAGAATCATTAACTATAGTAAGATAATCTTGATCCCTTTCCTCCGATTCAAAACCTTACAACCAATTATGAGTTGTTACAAAAATCTCAACATTTTTAGATAAGAGTTTAGCTCTCACCTTGTTCAAAATTTGACCCCCATAATGAAGGACGATTCAGATGCAACTGAATTAATTGGAATGACTAATATATTTCTCACCATTCGAGAAAGTATCGGATAAGAAATACTTTGATTTTTCAAATAATCCAAAATATCAAATTCATATTCTCCAGTACGAGGACAAGGGGCAAAATGATGTAGGAGTCAACATCTGATCATCCACTCCTTGAAGCAGCTAAATTGACATCAAAATTATGGAAAAATAAAGAAAACAAAATAATTAAATTATGAAAACATAATAAAATAAGTTAAAATAAATAAAATTTAATGTCAAATTCTAGAAAGTAACCTCAAATAGATCAAACTTTTTAAATGATCAAGGTTGATTGGAACTTGAGCTACTTATCTCTAAAGATGTGTTACTGTAACATCCCAAAAGTTGGGTCAATGACCAAAATAGAATTTTTGGTAATTTAGTGACCAATCTCAGAAAAGATTAAAAGTTTAGGGATTTAAATGAAAAGTATTGATGTTGGATGTAATAATAAAGTTTGAAAGTAATAAGGGTATTATGGTCATTTTCAGGAAAGATTTTTATTTTCCTTTATAAAAGGTAATAAGCACGTGGGAAGGAGATAATTTTTCCAGAGCATTCTTCAGTCTTCTTCTTCCTCCTCTCCACCGTGAAGCCTGGTATAAGGTAAGTGGGTCTTCAGTTGGTTAATTCTTTCGTTTTTAAAGCTTGTTTTGATTCTTGGGATATTAAGAAAGATTAAGAAAAGCTTTAGGTGGCTTAAAACTCAAAGATTAACAAGTTATGAGAAATTAAGAAAAATGAGTTTTTAAGTGAATTTTTAAAATAGAAGGAGTTAATAGATTTTGAAGTTGAATTTGACTTGCCAAGGGTTGAATTAAGAGATGTGAAGTGATAGAATGAGTTTTAAAACATGTTGAAAATTTGGTATGATTCTTTGAAGTTAATAAAGATGAGAGGATATTAAGGTTAAAGACAAGATAAATAAATAAAAATGAATCTAAGCATGTATATGTAAGTTAGGATTATAAAAGAGGATGAACCATGAAGTTTTGAAGATGAAAGAGTGAATTATCGTGCCTAAAGAGTAATTTCTGGGCAAGGTGTATCGGTACACATTCAAAGTGTACCGATGCACTCTTTAAAGAAGAAACATCGAATGCCAGGAATGCATCGATGCACTATGAGTGTGCACCGATGCACCAAGACAAATTTTGAAGGTGCATCGATGCAGTAAGGGGTGCATCGATGCATCAATATTTCGAAGCTATTTTGGGTACCGATGCATCTATAGTGCATCGGTACACCCCTAAAGGAAAAAAGTGAATATTAGTTTATT